TAGGGTCTAGGGTCTAGGAGTTTAGGGTTTAGTTAGGGTTTAGGGTTTACGGCCATGGGTTAGTGGTTCACCTCCACCCCTCACTATCAAACGGGGGCTAGGGTTTAGGGTTTCCGATTTGGGATTTCGTTCACCCCCCAAACCACCCTCTATGAGTCAGAAAATCTGCTCTATCAAGGCGATACATTGGCGCTCTTGGCACATCAAAGCTTCAGGATGCAAGCTCAGGGCTGTGTGTAAGCTCACGTAGAGCTTTATGGGCGTACAATTGTTTCGCAACGATCCTGTTTGACAACGGCGTTACTCAGGGTTCCTAAAGGGCTTTTGAAGGGGTTCTCTGGGCTTCAGGTTGCCGCCCAGTTGCATGGTAGTGCCGTCGTTTGGTATGGAAGTCCACTGGACCTGGAAGTTCGTGTCAGGCAAGATCGGAACCACGATCAGTCGCAGCGAGTGGAACAGGAACGGGTCAAATTTGCTGGCAGTCACGACCTTGCTTGCTTCCGAAGCGAACCTAAAGCTCGGCTTTTGGGATTGTATAGGGGTGTATGCCTAAACACTAAACCCTAAACCAGGACCAGAAATATGACCCAGGTCGCCTACTGGCGGACTGTGTCTTCCTTCAAAACGCAAGCAGTTCGAAACTAGCACGCTGCAGCACGCAATAAAGAAAGGCTTCCCACTTAGTAACTTAGAAGGGTGTAGGGCTTAAGGACTTTGGGGTTTAGGGCTTAGGGACTTAGGGTCTAGGGTTTAGGGACTTTAGGGTTTAGGGCTTAGGGACTTTAGGTTTAAGCGCCTGGCTTTGAAGATAAAACATTTTCGGAACTTGCACCTAGAAACGATGTCTCCTTCCTTGGAGACCATGCCACCGGCATGAAGAACTGTCGTCGCATTGCCCGTTGCATTCTCCTTGGTCAATGGTGGCGTCTCGGGTTTGCTATAATAAGGTCCTGACAGAGAGAAACTACACAAAAGGATCCCTCTCGTTTCCTTAGCAGAACCAAGCCTCCACCCTAGACCCTAAGAGGACCTACAACGATCTAATGTCGGGGCCTTGAAGTTTTTTGGGGCCCATGATACTATAAGTATACTAAGGAACCCCGAAAATAATGTAGGTAATTATTAAAGCGCCTATATTGAACAGCATCCTTGTTTCTTCCCCTCCTACCAGGGTTTAGGGTTTGGGGGCGAAGCAAGTCTCGGCAATGAGCTTCACGAGCACGTCCGTCGGCAAAGGCAACTCTTTGGAGAGGCTAATGGCCTCGGGGTTGTCGCTTTTAGGCTTCAGGGTCTATGGTTTTAGGGTTTAGGGTTTTCGGGTTTGGGGTCTAGGGTTTACGGCTTAGGGTCTCGGGTGTACGGTTTGGGGAAGGCTACGAACAAGCTTGCCCTACGGCTCCTGCTGCTGGAGTGCAACTACAGTGAGAATGACGATTCTGCTTGTATGCTGCTGTTACCTCACACTGAAGCCCCCAAAAGCAGAATACAGGGGCCTATATATAAGGGTCTTGGGGTATATTACACTACAATTGTAATGAGGAGCCCCCAAAATATTTAGGCCCCTACATTACGCAAGCCGAAGCGACACCCGGAAGCCTATACGTTAAGCCACGCCCTCTGTAAGCCCTATAATAACACTGTAAACGCTGTCAAAGCCCTGACATAACCCTATAAAACCTATCTAAAAGCCCTGTCGACTCCCCACACAGCCCTGCCCTAAACCCTAGGCCCTAAACCCTGGAGCCCTGTGGCCCTAAACTCCCAAACCGACCGTGCCTGTGCGTCCATAGGCCTCCGCTCTAAGCTTTGCTCCCGCCGCAGCTTTAGGCGCAGCTGCCCGGAAACGCCGCCTCAGCCAGCAGAACAGCTGGAATTGGGTTCTTGTTGCCCTAAACCCTAAACCCTAAACCTGACAAAGGGTTCTTCTAAGCATTCCTAAACGGGCTCGATAGAGGGGCCTTGAAAAGGCAGGACAAGGTTATGATGTAAAGTGTAAACTATACTATACAGATACAAGGACTAAGAGGGAATACTAGTGTAAAGGCAGGCATGAATCATAGCTATTTCCGAGCACTATATGAACTGGATGCCAAGGGACCGTACCTAATTACATACATACCTTCCCGAATACAGACATAGATATATAAAGACTGACAAACAGGCAAGCAGGCAGGCAGGCAGACAACGGTTTAGAGCTTCGGCTTTAAGGTTTAGGGAACAGTTTAGGGTTTAAGGTTTAGGGCCAAGGGTGCTGCAACCCAAGTTTCAAAACTCAAGAACGAAAACTCTCACCACCCTGAACCCTGTGCCCTGCACCCGCCAAAACCCCCGAGGCCCCGAGATCCCACATCCCAGAAAGCCCTGTCAGGGTTTTAGGGTTCAGGGTTTGGGGTTTAGGGTTTAAGGCTTAAGAATTATTTAACACTTTCACAAAACCCTATGCAACCTTGCCCCAAACCCTACACCCTAAACCCTTTCCCTAAACCCTGGCCCTAATATAGGGCCCTTAATACTTAGAATGGGGTTTTGCGGTACACTATACTCTAATTGTAATCAGGAACCCCCAAAAATAGTCTTGGTAATTATCCAGGCCCTAAACCCTAAACCCTAAAACCCTAAACCCTAGCTGGCCTTGCCAGTCCGGCATCACGGATTCGAAGCGAGCGCTTTGGTCCTGGTTTAGGGTTTAGGGTTTAGGGTTTAGGGTTTAGGGTTTAGGGTTTAGGGTTTAGGGTTTAGGTCCTGCACTTGGATGTCCGGGCCACAATCAGAGTCCAACGAGCCTGAGCAAAGAATACTTTAACTGGGTTGTAGTTTGGGGGCCCTGAAAAGTATTTATGAAAAGGTACCGCTGTAGAAACCATAAGCGAAACTTTAAAGTTTCCCAAATCGCCACCTAGTTAAGCTGTCTTAAAGTGTTCTGTACATGTTCTATACAGGATTTATACGTGCTTCATAAAGGGGGTTTAAGGCTTAGGGCTGTGGTTGTTTTAGAGTGATGTGTATAGGGTGTTGGTTTTGGTGAGTGGAGGTGACGGGGGGTTGGGGTGTTGCAGGGCGGTCTTGCCAGCGCGATTCCTGTTGATTTCAGGGTGCTAACTGCTTACTTTCAGCATTAACGGGTTTAGGAGCTTAAACCCTAGAACAGGACGCCCCATGCAGGGCACCTGCCGTCGTCACGCAGCCGAACATCTGCGCGCGGAAGCTATCGTGCGAGACGCCTTTCTCCTTGGTTGCCCGGTCACTGACCCGTTCTATAAGGGGTGCTTCCAGAGTTCCATAGAAGGAAGGCTTCTAAAAGGGTCAACGGGTATACTTTTACCTTGTCAGTCAGCTTTCATAAGGAGGCCAGAAAAAATTGGGCATGAATGTGCTTCCCTCAACCCTAAACCCTAAACCAAACCCTAAACCCTAAACCCTAGACTCTAAACCCTACACCTTAAACTCTAAACCCTACACCTTACACCTTAAACCTTAAACTCTAAACCCTACACCCTACTCCTTAAACCCTAAACCCTACACCTTAGACTTCTGGCGAACCCAGTTTCAAGTTTCGCCGCTCCGCTGCAACTTTGGCTCTCGTGCCAGGCATAGCTGTGGTAAGCTGCAAAGCCTGTGTTTGAGCTTTAGGGCTTAGGGTTTAGGG